CCTCCCCCTCTTCTAGCTCTATACGAGCCCTGAACATAACCCCCCCCCCCCTCCCCTCCACTAAGGTAACTTTCTAGAAGCTGGAACAAGCCCTGTCATACCAGTACAGCTCTGAATGCCCTCTTAGGCCTGCAACATCACCATAGTCGGACCTCCCTTGGGGCCCCAGGCTCAGTCACTTCAAAAGACACTATACAACTTTTTAGCAATGCTTGGGCTTCCGCACCATGCAAGCACTGCTCTTGCTTCTTAGGCCCGGTTCACGCCTGGGCGTTTTGTAGCGCGTTCCTACGCTCTGCAAAACGCTCAAACACCGAAATCTCATTATTTCCTATGGGTATGGTTCACACCTGGGCGTATTACAGGCCGTATGAAAGCGCTACAAAACGCCCTACGCCCAAAGAAGTACAGGAGCTTCTTTGGGGCGTATTTGCCGCGCGTATCCACTGGGATACAGCCAGGTAGCCCTCAGAAACGTGCGTCTGTCGCACGTTTTTTAACCGCGAATCGAGGTAAAAACGCGCGAAGGAAACGCGCAACAAACGCGCGTATTGGATACGCCTCGGTGTGAACCTTAGGGCTTCATAAGTGAAACATGCTAGCTGTGCACAAAGCTACTCTCTACAATGTATAGCACGGCTTGTTCCCTGGAACAACTTCTCCCCATCCCCACCTAAACTAATGATCTTACTTTATGTATATTCTACTGTTTGTTATACTTGATTATTGTCTGAAACTTTGACATGTATAATCACAATAAAAATTTACTTGTGAAAAAAAAAAAAAAGAAGGGGACAGAGAGAGGCTCATCTGATCAGTTCATTTCCAGTTAAATCCTGCATGTACACTTCCTCGACATTTGGTATCGCAGGACAGGATCCATCCTGTCTGCGTCCAAGCGTACAGACCCCATCCTGTCTGCGTCCAAGCGTACAGACCCCATCCTGTCTGCGTCCAAGCGTACAGACCCCATCCAGCATACGGACACCCGCACGAACGTGCAGTTTGGGTGAGCGTATGGTGGCATACTCCCATAGAGAGGCACAGGCTGCTGCTTACAAATCACACGTAGCACCCGTCCCTCCCGGGAGCAGCCCGATACAGCCGTGCACGCAGCACGGATCTGTACGGGCTGGCTGTTACTCGTGTGAATGAGGGCAAATGGACAAAGGAGACCGGGACAAACAGAAAAAGCGATTCTACCCAGTGGGGACAGCAATAAAATCTGTCAGGGATTGCTTTCCTTACCTAAAAAAGAGAGATATAGGAGTTAGTTAGGTTTGACGTCTGTGTATGAAATAAAATTGTTCAGCCCCGTAAATATCAATGTTCTCTATATATACCAGACATATTGTATTACAGGCCCGCGACACACTCAGCCTATTGTGCAATGTGGAGCTCCATGAACCATGCCTCCGGGGCACTCCTGCTCCATATAACCATGCAAACGACCGGTCTACGCTCTGTTTACTTAAGCAGATATCTTCCCGATGGCATGCCAGGCACACAGACAAAACCATGTTCCCAATCTAAGTATAGAACATCAGGATTTTCACCCTCTGGGGCCTGGGCACCAGGCCAGAGATTCCGCCTCATCCTTGGCTCAGATGGCACGAGTCTCACACAGCCAAGAGATGGGACTCCCTCTGCCCTGAGAACATGACACAGAGGAGAGAGCATCATCGCAGAAGGCGGCAGGAATGCCACAGGGGTTTCCTGATGGACAACTGCACAATCAATAGAAACCGGAAGGACGCTCATTCTTAATCGATCATCAATTTGTTACAGCAAGGCCTCAAACGTTTGTCATAGAAGACGCTTACTAAAAATTAGCAGTGGGCTAAAAATAAAATTTAATAATTAAGTAGAATAAAAAAATGGAAAGCCTTTTAGATGCCACTTGCGTAAAACAATGCGACCATAATTACCAAGATGGATGGAATCTGTCAAATGTATTATATTTGTATAGAAGTTTTACAGCTTTGGCGATGTCATTCCTCGATTTGTAATTTGTAACAATTTGGGCAATGGGGAATGAATCCGGGCCAGGACAGTCCACTTCCTTCTGTGATGGTTGTGGGTTTCTTCACTGTCTATAGCTAATCATTAGTCCATTGAGCTCACTAATCTGCCATCCACTGTGGCCGTAACTTACTGGGACACTGTCGCTTTATTCTTCTACTTGTTACTTAAAGAAGGAAAGAGTTGTAATCATTTTTAGTATATTTAGGAATGCCGCTATTAGTTCATTTCAGGGATAAAAGAGAAACACTTAAGCCCTTAAGGACCCATGAGGGGATTATTGCGTCATGGGTCCTTAAGGGTTTAAGCTTCTCCCATGCACTATATGAGTACTTTTATATACATAAAGCCAGTTTTGTCCTTTACACAACAGTATATAATATGTGTTGGTGCGATAAATGGGAAAGATGGAAATTGCGGTTGAATACACACAGCATAAATTGCTTTGGTCCTTAACTGAGAGACAAGCATCTGAAGCTTGGTCCTTATGGGGTTAAGGCCATGGCATATGATGCCATTGCTGGTTGCAACTCACCAGGAACTGAATGGCTAAAGAGATCACACACTTGTCCTTACGTTGTTGCCACCTTGCTGGGCAAAACACTGCAAAATCTCACTTGCCAAGCAGGGAGCAGCGACGGAGTGATAGCTTGGTGTTTCAGCCAATGAGGAAGCGACACTGTGCATTGTGATTGGTCATACCGAGCCTGATGAAGGGGACACTGTACGGACCCAAAACGTTGCTATAATTGTCACAATATGCGTCAATAAAAGACGTGTTCTGGTGTCATCTTGCTTCCTCACAGGGATCCTGCTGCTGGTGAGTTGCCACCATGATGGGTTTGCTAGTCCTACATGGCCATTAACACTAGCCTGGAGCTTTATTTGCAGGGTAGGAGAAAATGCACTAAAAGCTGTGTCTCCTTAGCTGACTTTATTGCTTCAGCTGTTTCCTTTTGTGCTCGCCAAACCTAATCCAATTAAAGATGAACTCCAGGCAGATGTATAAGAAAGCATCATTTAATCCAGTTAAGTATTTATAAAAAAATTATTTAACTGCAGCTAAAGCAAGAACCTAATTGATGTCATTATTTTAGTAGAGGATCAACACTGTGAGCAACTCAGGGCACTTTTGCTCTCTACAGGGATGTCAGTCTAACACTGGGTAGATGCTTACAGGATGGGAGAAAACGGGGGGTGAGCCCCTGGGCCAAGCTGTACTCTGCACACTCACAGG